ATATATATATATATATATATATATCAATTTTGTACAAAGTGGTATGGTTTTATTATTACTTTTGCATACTTGTATATATTTTTGTTATCCAGTTAATAGCTTCTCTTAGTTAACTAATATAGTAAGTGCGATTCCACTAAATGTAGGAACCACGATGAGTTGTTATATATGATCTAATAATTAATTGATTTAATTACTTATTTCACTTTTATAATTACACAAATTTTATCTTTAAGTTTTCATACTTAAAAATTATTTGTAATTCTTTTACCAACACTTTCAAATAATTTATTAATCCTTATACAAGAACTTTCAATTTTCTTTTAGTGTCTATCTTTATATAAAAAAAAATTAACACAATTAATAATAAATGCTGGCTACTTATGTAACACTAACATGTGTTGTACTACATATTTAAGTACTTATATTTTTATTATTTTTATATTTTTGTTCTTGTACATGTATATCCTTTATCTTTTAGACTCAACATTTAAAAATTACTTATTTTAGTTCTTACATGAAAAAGTGTTTTTATAGTTCATATCAACACCGTTTATCTTTCTTCCTTCTTTTATTTTGTAGGCTATATTTTTTTTTAAATTCTTACATTAACTGATTCTCATCGACCTGCTTTTAGAATAAGACGGTGAAACCTCTCAATAACAATTTGTACTAGCATTTCTTATAGAACTGAAAATCTTTGCATTGCTTTAATCTTCTTACATAAAACATTACATTACAATGTATGATGCATTAAACCCTTGTTGTATGGTTTTAATCATTTCAATCTTGTTATAACAAATGCTTAGATATTTGTGACACAAAAGATATGAGCCATTTTTTTTTTTTTTAATTTTGGTCGTCATTTATTATGTGCTATAAAACATTTTTTGTCTCGTATCCGGCCGTATCAAGTATTTAACCAATGGATACACTTTGATAATCCAAATGATACGTATTTAATGAGTATCTGTAATGATTTTACTTAAAAAAATATATGAAAAATTCTGATACGATAGGATATATACAATCTGATACGTAAATATCAAACACAAACAAGATTATTAGATACGTTGAACCACTTTCTGCAAATCATTAATTTATATGAATTCAGTAAATCACATTTAGATAATGTTCAAACAAAAATTGGAGACTCTACGAAGTTGTGCATGCATGAGAGAAGGTTAAAGGCAACAATTTTATTTATTTATTTATTTTTGTTGCGTCTTGCTTCTCCCAATATTCTCTCATTTCTACATTGGATAATAGCCAGCATATCTTCATCCCTTTCGTCATAGAATCCAGCACATATTGTAAAGTAATGCAATTGTATTTCCTTTCTCATTCCATTTAATTTACTTTTATATATGTTTTTTTGTGTGGTTCACTCTCCCTACGTAAATAATGGCAATGTCCGGCTGTAATGCACCCACCTATAGTAATATTAATTTGAATGACATATCTTAATATGATATTTCTTATACTAATAGAATCTTCCTTTAATCTATTCCGGATAATTTTATTATATAATATTAAGAAAAACATATATTAGTACTTAAAAATTACAATTGATTAGTGTTTAAATTTTTAAGTTATTGTCATATAAATAAAAATTAATGTTGCAAAAAAAAAATCAATCATTTTATATTTTTTTATTATTTTAAATAAAAATAATATTGTTATAAGAAATAAGAAATGATTTATAATTTTTATTATATTTTAAGTATTGTTTAAAAAGTAAAAACATATTCTTAATTTGGATTTTTGGATAATATATAGGTGATTTTCTATTTTATATTTATTAATATTTAAAAATATATTTTCAATCTAATATTTTATAAAACATATCCACAACGTATAGTATCCTGTATTTTTTTTTAATACTTTTTAAGATTGACATGTATCTGACATATTGTTGAATCACACACGTATCATATATGATACTTATATCGTATCCGACATTCGTATTGTATCCATACATCTTTAGGTTATGTAACTCTATTATCTCAAAATTCTCTAACACTGTAACAAATGACAAAGAAGAAAATGTTGATAGAAACTAAAGCATAGAAATAATTACTGATATAGGCACTAAAATGAACAATTTCTAACTGTAGAGAATAAAAGGTAAAATTTATGCAAATATAAAACCAAAATGTAAAACGCACCACATGTCTTGTTAATGGTAGACACCACCGAAAAAACTGAAAGTGTTTACTAAGGGACTAAAATAAATGGTTTTTAAGATAAAATTTGTAAAAAAAAATACCGGAGAAATGGGTAACTAAACCTAATTAATTCATGTAGCATTAACCAATACACATCAATTACACGCACACAATTTAGACAGTAACTTATTAGTTGAACCAATGAGCTAGTAACACGATTGAGTTGATGACCAAACTAAATTTAATAACACTTCAGTAAAACTATTTGCTATACAGTGCTTGAAGGGAGACCACAAATGTAAATGACCTGAATTTGTTATACGTGCAAGGCACATCACAATATTTGTTAAACCGGGAATTAATCTGATTTCCTTTTGAAATAATGATGAAGAAACATTTACAACAACTCACCTATGTTGATATAACTATATCAAAGAGATTATCTGGCTCACAACCCTATCCCATTTTTTCTTTGATTTGACATTACATATATACCTTGCTCACATCTCTGATTGATGGATTCCTGTGAATGATTGATGTTAGGTTCTTTGCATCATCAAGCAGTCCAAAGATCACCCCTCATGTGCAAGCTAGAACATAATTTGATTGAATTGTAAAGAATTTGCATCCACTGCGTGAAGAACTAGCAAGGGAAATTATTATCATCATTAGTCCTTCAATAGAAAGATATCCTGGTCAGGACACCATGCAGCTCCTTCAACAAGTTATCCATCAAGGTCAAGGATTAAGTGTAACTCTTTATTCATTTCATTATGCAGCCTTATCATGTCGATCCCTCCAACCAGACAAGAAAAAAATTCACTTGATGCTGCATTCAGACTTATACTCTAGTCAGTTCCCGACTGTATTGATTGTTAAATACAAATGTTAAGTCAGATGACAAAAAATTCTCTTCATGTACAGCACCACCGTAGAACCTTTGGATGAAGCTGATTCTTGCACTAGTTAAGGTGCTAGCCCTGCCAAAAAGGTAAACATAAGCTCATAATCTTCCATGACACTTGTGGTAGTATCCATTACATGTGGTATCAATCTATCAGATGTTATTAACAAACTCAATCTGCCAATTTTGGGTGTGTTCGGGTTACAGTTCCATTGAACATAACTGTTTTTCTTTTTTCAATCCATCATTGTTCTTGTTTCTCCATTTCATGCTTTGGAAAGCACAAACAGATGTTTGGTGGCTCTGAAACAGCAATCCAAACACCCACTCTACTATCATCACACAGCCTCTCCCATGCTCTTCCCAACAATGCTGAAATCAAATCCAGGAGAACCCTTTTGCTTCTTCTCACTCTCAACCCAGCTCTTGCCAGGCATCTTCTTAACCCCTCTTTCCTCCATCAACTTCCTGATCTCCAGAGCCTCATTCCACCTGCCAACCGATCTATAAATGTTACCAAGCAGAACATAACTCAGATGGAACTCAGGCTCCAGCTGAATCATCTTCTTTGCAACACGCTCGGCCGTGACATAGTCCGAACACTTGGTGCAGGCTCCAAGCAGAACCGCCCAAAGCGAGTGATCATACCTGCAGTCAGCACTCTCCAACAAACTCTCAGCCTCCTCAATCAACTCAGCCCTTCCCAGAAGATCAACCATGCAAGTGTAGTGCACCACCCCAGGCCTAATCCCATACTCCATCCTCATCAAATCAAAATACCTCTTCCCCTGATCAACCAAACCATTATGACTACACGCAAAGAGAACATTCACAAAACTTATACCATCCGGCCTCATCCCCTCCCTCACCATCTCCTCAAACAACTCCACCGCCTCCTCCCCTCTCCCGTTCTTCGCAAACCCGCCGATCATGGCGTTCCACGTGATCAAATTCCTCTCCTCCATCCTCATAAACAACCTGTGAGCAAAATCCACACTCCCACACTTGGCATACAAATCAACCAAAGCAGACTCCACCACCACATCCCTCCACCCACCCTTCCTCACATACTGACAATGCACCTCCTTCCCCTGCCTGGCCGCTGCCAAACCCGAACACCCACGAAGAATCGTAGCAAAACTATAAACATCCGCCACCCCCCACTCCCTAACAAGCCCAAGCACACTCTCAAATTCACCATTGTGACAATACACCCCAAGCATAGCAGTCCAAGACACCCAATTCCTCCCCTCCAACCCATCAAACACAAACTTGGCACACCCAACATCACCACACTTCCCATACATATCCAACAAACTACTCTCCACAACCACATTCCCACACATCCCCAAAGTAACAACCTTCCCATGCACCTCTTTCCCCATCCTCAACCACCCCAAGTTCCCACACGAGTTCAGCAAAGTCCCCAACGTGAACCCATCAGCCTCCAACCCCAAACCCCCATCATGCATGGCCCAAAACAACCCCACCGCGTCGCTGAACCTGTCGTTACGCGCCAACGTTGAGATAACCGCCGTCCAACACACGGGGTCCGGTTGCGGCAATTCGTCGAACACCCTCCGCGCGCCCTCCAGCACGCGCGCCCTGCCGTACATGTCGATCAACGCGCACGCGATGACGCGGTTGGAGGCGAAGCCGCGCGTGGTGATGGTTCCGTGGAGGGAACTCCCGAGGGGGAGGTGTTGGAGCTGGGAGCAGGCTTTGAGGATGGAGGAGAGGGTGAAGGCGTTGGGCTGGACGCCTTGGCCCAGCATTTGGAGGAAGAGGCGGATGGCGTCGATGGGCTGGGCTTTTTGGACGTAGCCCGAGATGATGGAGGTCCAGGCGATGACGTCTTTGACGGAGAGCGCGTCGAAGAGGGTGCGGGCCTGGGAGAGGTGCGGGGAGAGCTTGAAGTAGAGAGAGAGGAGGCTGTTGGCCACGAAGCGGTCCGCGAGGAGGCCCGACTTGAGGACGTGGGCGTGGAGGTGGGTGCCGTGGGTGAAGGACTGGGTTTTGGTGCAGGCTTGGAGGAGGGAGGCGTAGAAGACGGGCTTCAGAGCGGGGTTCAGGGTCTGGGCTTGGGGTTGGGCTTGGGCCTGGGCTTCGGAGTTTAGGAGGGTGAGGGCCTGGGAGACGGCGCCGAGCTTGCAGTGGTGGAGGATCTGGGATTCGGTGGGGGAGGGGGTGATGGAGGCGAGGATGCTCAAGTGCCGATTCACGTTTAGGTTCTTCATTGAGTCTTGGATTGGATTAGATGCCAAAGATGGAGATGGTCATGGTGTTTATGTTATGGGATGCTGAGTGAGGGAGTGAGTGAGTGTGGGGATTAGCTTCTCTCAGGTGAGTTTTCATGCGATGCGGTTGCTGCCGGAACACACACATTTCAAATCCTACTTGGCCATAGGTACACATTATTATTGTTATTATTGGAACATCGATTTTTTTTTTAAATTAATAAAAGAGTTTTAATTAATTGATTAATTAAATTTTATAGTAATTATGAGTTTTTTTTTACAATGTGTATTCGGAAAATAGGAGGTTTTAAGTTTGAATCAGGATTACGTTCTTTTTATGTTTGTGTTTTTTTTTTTTTCTCTCTAGTGGATATTGATTTCATTCTCATGTATGTTATGAGAAAGGAATCTCAATTCTAGTTTATAAAATCTGAATTTGTATTTTGTACGTTTTGTAAATGTTTTATCTGTGATCATTATGCTATATGTGTAATTAATTTGGTGTGAATTACTTTGATCATGAATTTATGAGTATTTATAAGAGAAAAAACTTGTCAATAAGATAAGATTGAGTTAATTGTTAGCAATTTGAGGTGTTTTGGTGAAATATATGTCTTAGAAAATATTATGTATTGCTAATAGCGTTGTATAACTTGTTAAGTTATTAATTAAAATGTTTGGTTGGATATTAATCTTTTAATTATTATTATTGATTTGGACATTTCTAAATTGTAAAAATGTCCCAACATTACACTTAGAATCAAACTTTCTTAAATTGTCCTTAGTATTTAGTATTTGGTAAAAACTATATATATATATATATATATATATATATATATTATTTTGTAAATAACATGCAAAATTTACTATTTCTACCCATAAATGGTTGGGAGTTGAATGATAATTCAATATGGTTGTAGCCATTTCTTGTAATGACCTATTATTTCTCTCAATCACAACATTTTTTGTGTGGTGTTTATGGCATAAAAAAGTTATGGAGAATTCTGTTCTCCATGCAAAACTTTTGAAAACTTTTATTTTCAAATTTACCCTATGATCACTTCGAATAAAAACAATGAATATGTCTTTCTTATTTTGAACTTTTATAAAATGCATAAAAGACTTTAAAAGACTCATCCTTGTGGGTCAAGAACATAACCCATGCCCACTAGTTTAGTCGTCAACTATGACTAATCCATATGTCTTACACTAGTAGATGTAGTTCTGGTTAGACTAAATATATCAATATTTAAAAATTGTAATAACTTGATAGGTTTCACACGGACACAACAACTAATAAAAACATTTATCTACGTAGTGAAAAAAAAAAGTCATTTATCCTAGGTTTATCATGCAACAAAATGTATGTACAAAAAAATATATACTCAAGATCTTTGTGATTAATCAAAAACAAAAGTTGTAAAACAGTTTCTGGTCATCAAAGCAAAACATAAAATCCCCTTATATAGGGCTCCCATCCCAAATATATAATATCTATATACAAACATCAAAACTACATTAGAATTGAGTAGGTCCTAAAACAACAAAAGGGAGTCAAGAGGCCAACATTAAAATTGTAATGTTTGATATTTATTTAATTCATAAATATTGTTATAAATTATAAAAATTATTGTTTTATTTAGTATGTGAATTTCTTTGTTTTGTTTACATGTATAAATTAAATTATTTTTTTAATATCTATGAATTTAATTATTTTAAGTTGTGAATTCTTAATTTTAGGACATGAATTTAAATATTTTATTATCAAGAAGATTAATGTTGGCTTGAAGGGGTATTTTTAATAAAATACAAAATTTATTTTCCACTACATTTTTTTCTTTGATAATTAATTTAGTACGAATACTTTATATTTATTTTGACTACCAACTAATAATCAATTTAACTCTTTTCCCTCCCATATATATTTTAAAATGGCTATGTGATTCCAAGAAAGAAAAAAAAAAAGAGAGAAGGTTACTATTTGTTGATATAACCAAAACTCATTTCTTAAGTTAAGTTTTTTTTTTAAACCAAATTAAAATTCACTTTGCTCTCCATTCTCACTTTCATTCAACAGCTCCAAGGAAGGAGAAAAATCTTCTCTTCATTTTCTCCATTGTTCCTTCTTCTCTAGAGTTCTTCTTATTCTACTACAACTTAGTTTTTGAGTTTCCTACTTCATCTTCCTTTGATTTTCTTCTTCTATTTCTCTTTTTAACTTACCCCAAGCTTGTTCTCATTTGGAGAAGTTTTGTAAGAGCTTGTAACAGCCCAAATTTTCACTGGGCCGTGGGCCCAATTCGTTGCCTAGAACGGGCCGTTTCGAAATAAAGAAATTGCCTAAAAAAACGTAGTTGAGAATGGGCCGTTCCGGTTGGAGAACGGGCTGTTCTAGTTTGGAGAACAGGCCGTTCTGAAAGTAGAACGGGCCGTTCTGCTGGGATTGAGAACGGGCCGTTCCGGTTTTGGAACGGGCCGTTCCAGATGAGATTTTTGCTTGGTTCTGGAGGGTCCAGAACAGCTGTTCCACTTTTGGAACGGGCCATTCCGGGTTAGTTGAGGCAGATTCCTATAAATAGGAGGCCTTACCTCTCATTTTCACACATCTCTCATTCTTTGTTCCTATTCTCTTCTGTTCTTTCTTCTTCCCCTCTTCTTCTCTCTGAAAACCATGGAGCACTTAGAGGAGGAGACCAAGAGATCCATGTTGTAGTTTCAATTGTTGTTTATCCAGGTACGGGGGAAAAGGGAATTATTTATATGTAGAGTTACATGAGGGAATTGGGTAGAGGAAGAATCCCTTAGGATTATGAGTAATTTTATAATTATTTCTGTTTGAAGAATTATTGTTCTTATTTGATTCTGTATGTATTTAGGAATATGGATATATGATTAATTGGTAAAAATGATGCTCTGGGAGAGAGAACGAAATTATAAAAAAGTGCCTGTAAGTTAGGTTGTGAAAAATTGGATGATTTCTGTTTGAGGAATTGATGATCCCATTAGATTCTATATGTGATGAGGATTATAAATATGCCAATAATTTGTAAAAATGATGATCTGGGAGCGAAATTGTAGAAAAGTGCCTGTGAGCTAGGTTTTGGAACAATTTGGGGTTTTACTATTTATGTTAAGATTGTATTAAATTGATAATTTCATTGATTATCATATTAACTTATGAATGTTATTGCTATATTACTTGATAAAATTCATGACTTAGATGTGAATTGAACTATGAGATGTTATGTGAAATGTGAATGAGATGTGATTGTGGTTCTTCACACCTATGACCAGGGGTGAGCACGGCCCGAGATTGTTACATGGGTATCGTGACCTTGGTTAACATGTCAGGGGTGAGCACGGCCCTGGGTTAGGGGTAACGTGACCTTGGCACAGTGTTATATCAAGGGTGAGCACGGCCCGAGATTGTTACATGAGTATCGTGACCTTGGTTAACATGTCAGGGGTGAGCACGACCCTAGGTTAGGGGTAACGTGACCTTGGCACAGTGTTATATCAGGGGTGAGCACGACTCTAGATTGTTACGTGGGTATCGTGACCTTGAATAACATGTCGGGGGTGAGCACGACCCTGGGCTAGATATGCTACAGGGGAATCGTGACCTTGGCACAGTGTTATATCAGGGGTGAGCACGACCTTGGATTGTTAATTGGGTAGCGTGACCTTGGCATAGTGTGAAGTGCAAGATTTGTGATGAATGGTGTGATTGAGAATTATGACGTGATGACGATGCATGATTGATTGAAATATGACATGTTGAAATATTTATGAATATTAAGCTATAATGAGATAATATGTTGTGTTTTCTTATGTGCTATATATATAGATGTTTTCTTTTCTCACCGTACAACTTGTGGATGTTTTAGGTGAGGAAGATCCGGGCTATGAGTGACATCTAGAATGTCAACAGTTGATTTATGGGTATGCTCTGATATTGTGACATCGGGGCAGAGAATTTCTAGGATATGAATTGTATTTGTATATGGAGTTGAACCTATTATTTTGAAAACATTTTGTAACCTCTTATGTTTTATTTTCCAAGTTTCATTTTCAGACTATTTTAGATATTACTACAAGAAAAATGCTGATTTTTGACGGAAATTTTCGACAGAAATAGGTAAATTTTCGACGAATTTTGCTTTTTTCGACGGATTTTTGACAGATTTCAATCCGTCAGAAAAAGTGGCATCGAAAAAAAATCCGTCGGAAATAATTTTTCCTACGAAATTTTCCGACGAAAAATTCTGTCGGAAAATTCTGTCAGAAATTTCTGACAGAAAAATCCGTCAGAAATTGCTGTCAAAATTTCTGACAGAAAAATACGTCGGAAATTGCTGTCAAAATTTCTGACAAAAAAATTCGTCAGAAATTATAATTTTTTTTTTAATTTTAATAAATTTATTAATGTAACAACTTTTATATTTGGCCTCTCAAGGGTTCTATTTCACAATATTTCACTGTTTAACGTGTTTTATCCTTACTTGTACAATTTCTGGGAGACTTCCCAGAAGGTCACCCATCCCAGTACTACTCCAGGTCAAGCACGCTTAACTGTGAAGTACATATACAATCTCATATTTGTACTATAATAATAATATATAATAATTTTATATTACGAATAATAATAATAATAATAATATATTTAATAATTCTTTATTTATATGTACTTACTTTTATAATTAACATCTACTTATTTTTATTTAAAATTATAATTTAAATTATTTAATTTTATAATTTATAATGATAATATAATTTATAAAATTATAAATATTTATTTATTACATACTTATA